TAACGTAATGAGTATTTAATAAATGCAATAGGTATATTAAAAATAATTAATAATAATAATTTGTCATATGACCGCGGTCTCCTGAGACCGCTAGGGGGGTTGAGAGGTTAACCCGCTGGTCTGTATCTCTGGTGTCTTATCCATGAGGTATTTATATACAAATATTTATGTAAAACAGCTCCACGATAGAAGAGAAATTTCATGTGTAAAGTTAACATTTTTTAAGGGATATCCATCGAATAAACTAACATGCATAGATAACCTGACTTAATATAAAAGTTTATTGAACTATATTTCATACATTCTACTGTAATGTTTAATTCGTTTATGTTGTATTTTATTTCAAGAGTAATTTTTATCTGACGATTGAAAAATCGTGGCATATTTTGTTCTTTTTTCAATGAATAATGGCTGCCTTGAACGAATGGTTAATTCGTTCGTAAGGTGATCGTTTGGCATCCTTACTTCTATAATAAAGGACTGGATCTTTCATTTTACTGTTATGCTTCTTTAAGCTAAAACAGAGCAACGGTCGCACATTTGTTAACTGTGACACCACTACTAAGTCAGTTAGTGTACTTACGGGACGGGTAGGGTGCGCTGTGGGGTGCGGGAGGGGGGGCGGGGAGCGGCGCAGGCGGGCCAGAGCGCTCAGCAGCCCGTCCGTGGTCAAGCGCCGGCGCCCCGCATCTGCAACAAAGGTTCCGCATGAGAGAAGAACATACTGGACAAATATTACCAGTATGATATAGTTCTACAATTGACGAAGTCGGGCGGGCTTTACTAGTGGTTAAAGTTCTCCATGCACATCGCGGTAGTGCGCGTGTCTGACGGAGCGATTAATTGCGAGTGTGCCGCCGCTAAACATCCTCACTTTTGGTCTCACGCACACTGTGACACGTATACAGATACTTGTTTACCACAACTAAAGTCCATTCGACTTCGTGAATTGCAAGAACTATACCTGCGAAGGATATCCGTATATCCAGAGTAACCGACATAGCACAACGAATAAGTAAGCTGAAGTGGCAATGGAAATATGGCCGGTCGATTGCCACTTCAGCTCACTTTTACAGACTGAGTGAAGTATTTTTTTTCTAACCACGAACTTTTCATAAACCCAAATAGCATAAAGAACCAACCACCGATGTCTATGAAAGTTTCTCAAGTGGCAACATTGTACCTTTAAGCTAATTGCAGGGTGGCCTCACTAGATGAAGTGGCGACTTTGTAAGACATGCAGGAAGTCCATGGATGCTGGTGACTCAGGACCGTGCTTTGTGGTATTTCTTAGGAGAAGCCTAGTTCGGCTGTGAGCTTATGAAGGTCTGTAATGATGTTGATGATAGTTACACCTTGTGACGGCCCAATATTATTATTAATAATTAAATTCAATATAAAGGGGCGTCAAAATAGTCTTAAAAGATATATATTAAACAATAAAATTACATTAATAACCATAAAGTTAATATAAGTACATTTCAGACATTAGACCAATAACATAGTAAATTAAAGGCAAAATATTGTCTTCCATAATAAATAAATATATTAAAAACTTGAAAAAATATTTAAAATAAGATAAATAATAGGAATACAAGTCGAAAATATTATAAAAATAAAGATAAATAACATTTATAAGATAATTAGAAAATTTATTAAAAATTGTCTGTCTTGTAAGGAGTTCATGTATAAAAGAAAATTTTCCTAAGTTGTGGAAGGAGTTCATGTATAAAAGAAATTACCTAAGTTGTGGAAGGAGTTCACGTATAAAAGAAAATTTTCCTAAGTTATGGAAGGTGTTTATGTATAGATATGTCATGTATGGAGGAGCTGTCGGAGATACATACCTGCAGTTGTACATATATATGGGGTGGTCGGGAACCCGACTGCCTGAAGTACTGTAGCACAATGACTAGTCCTATATTGGGTGCTTATGATAACAAGCTTAATGATATAAAAGCAATACTATAGAAGGTCTCTATGATGAATATGCATTACAATAGTAGGGTTGTGGGGTCGAACCCTATATATGAATGACTTATGAAAGTAAAGTCTATGATACAAAAGCATTATTATTGAAGGTTTCCTTGATGCATAAGCATTGTATGGGGTGGTCGGGTGACCGACTGCTCCTAGTACTGTAGCAAAATGACTAGTCCTTTAGGGACTTGAAAAGAATATTATGTGCGTGCGTGCTGCTTCACGAGCAATTGGTCCGAGGTAAACTTGGACTCGCTAACCGATGTGTCCTAGACATATCATCTTAGTGCTGGTGGTAAGTGGGTTTGTTGTAGCAATACGGCTTTCCCGTGGACATTGCACACCCATACCGTTTGTGGGCGACGTCGTAGCGCATAGCGATGCGTCGTCTATCTTTCTGATTGGGATGATGAGTGTGTTTGGTAGCACTTTTAAGTGTAACAGGCATAGCACGTATCATAGCGCTATGATACGTGGAGTTTTGTTCATTGGCGTTTTAGTAGCGTGCTACTATGATACGTTGGTGATATTTTTTATATAACAACAATAAAAACTTTGTTACCAAAGTCGATAGGGATCATGTGGGTGTGTTGTGATGGGGCGCCATCCATATGATAGTTGCATTGATGCTTACTGCTACAGTTCTGGTCGATGGAGGTATGCGGGTGGTGATGTCTGCTGGGATGTATCGTCGGGTTTTACACCTGTGTAAGCCCGACGATAGTCGCATTGATGCTTGTTGCATTCTGCAGCATTGCGTCTTTGCGATGGTCGTTTGGTGGGACGCTATTCGCAATGGCGCTCTCTGCGTCTTGGTTTGACTCACGCCTGAGTAGTTTTGCCCAAGTCGGGTCCCTTCATTACGGGGCTGCAGACTGTCTGCCCTCCACGATGTTTTATATAACAACATAACATTATATCTCTGTAACTTTCCCACCTTTGAATGATTGAAGGCAACTTTTGGTGGGTGAGACAAACATGATCGAAAATGCATTTACTCAACGTCAGTGACACAAACCCTTTCTGATGGCGAATTATTACTCTTATCTTATAACTGCCTTTTGGCTATATCTGCCGTTGTACTGGTTGGTGGAGCATATGTGTCGACCTCATGCGGGTGGTAGCTGGCGGGAGGATCTGAGGAGACTCTCAAGGCTGCGGCCGAAAGCCGCACAACGTGGGACCCCATTCCCTTGAGGTGAGCGGTAGACTCATGACACGCTCTGCGGCTAGTAGCCGTACTGATCGTGCAATTGGTGGTGATGCCATACACTTACATCACGTCTGCAGGAGCGGCGGTCTGGCAGGTGGTGGCGCTCACGGAGGGTTTACGGCCAGTGTGCCTATTTGCCTAAACCGTGTGACGTACATTCACTGTGGCTGGATTCGTTCGTATTCTGTTTGGCGTTTACACGCATTGACATGCGCGACTTTGGTCGATGTTTGTGCTTACGCACTAACAAGAGGCCAAGCCTCTTTTACTGGTTCGCCAGTTATTTTGCTGTGGACACGGTCCAGTTCCCGAATTAGCGTTCCCTTCGGGGGGGAGTGCATCAAAATGGTTGGCGCTCACCGTGCACGGCGTGTGTGGAGCCGTGTGCCTCCCCCTACATTTTTTTTTAAATAAATGTAGGAGAGCGAAGCCCTTGTTTCGGGTATTTTGTATAAATATATTTTGAGCCTTTTCCGAGCGGGAAGAGATAAATAATATTAAATTATTAATGTAAACCTGATACAAGTGGAATAGGGACGTTTTATGTTCTTAACCTTTTTTCGAGCCCTGTCTTCGTGAACGGGGTTCACTTAGCTTATAAGGCACTACCAACAGCTTTCAATTGATCTAGTGAATATTCATTCTTCCAAAAGACACTTAAAAGAACTAAGCTACTAAACAAACACAACGTAAATAAGGGTCCTAACTAAGATGATCACGCCAAAATATTACAAACGGCCTATTATTAAACCTTTAGAAAGATCATTTAGAAAGATCAAAACATATCTTATTTATCTTGGTCACATATATATAATTTTATTGAAAAGGGTTAAAATTAATTATATCTAATATATTTATTATTATAAGGGGGGGGGAGCGTTACAACCTGTTAATTTGGTAAACGTTGTTCTGTCCTTTTTGATAGGTAGCGCTGTCGATTTCCATCCGTAATAATGAATAAATTAGTTGTTTAGTTGGCGTGTGGTGACAGCCAGCATCAAAATTCTTCCCGTGACTACGGAAAATGCCGAAAATATCTCACAGCATCTGATGGATGTCAGTATAAATTTACACCAAAACAAAAAATACCTTGATATGTATCTGACTGATCTGAATTCTGTGAGAGCGTGGCCCTTCCGTGGTCGAGCCAGTCCATTCATGCTATAACCATAATGTAGCTGTAGCGTGAATCTACCACGTAAAACCATGTGTGGCTATTTTTTCAAAACAAATCACCAGTTCAACTATTTACGAATAGTTTATATATTTTTTTCATTCTAAGTCATCCTCAGTTGCTGAATGAATAGTTTGTAATACAAATTGTTTTTACATGCTCCTTGTATGTAATAAAATGGATCGTTGTGGAGAACGAAACGTTTCTTGGATTGAAACTTTTCTAATAAAAAATTATTATTTGAAATTCAGGTTATATTTAGTAGAGACTACCGACTAGGAGTCCGTCTATATAGGCACCGTCCTCGTACCTATTTATAGGTAAACGTAATAGCTTATAAATTCGAGACATTAGTTCTTCTTTGCCTAAGAGCGACTTTAAAAGCTTGATTTGTGGTTATTATATTATATTTGTTGAAGTTGGAGTTTACTTTTTAATAAAAATTCCTCTTTTGTTATTCAAAATGAATCAATTTTATCAAACACCTAAGTAGATAGAATAGACTTCATTGAAAAATAAATCCATTTTTAATCGCTTAACCACAACAATTAACGACAGTTAAATGCACAGAATACTGAAGCAGCGGCCAGTTTGTAACGAGCATTGGTGGAAGCATCACAAACAAAGAATACAATGTGTTTTAAACATTATATTTGTGTAACCATACTTACTCTTTCTACTATAAATGTCGATTCTACATTTTCACCTTCTAGATATAAACGAAACGCTATAGGACTTTCTAGATACAGCGATAGTGTAAATGGAAAGAACATCGAAATAACTCCAAATGACGACTGGAATTACGATGATCCACGTAATTATTACAAAAGACCGTACGACAATGGACAGGATTATGGAGAACCAAATGAAAGACTGCCAATTGACGAAATCCTAAACATATTAAATCTTGGTGCTCAAGGGAGAAAGAACACACCACAGTTACCTCATCAATATGAAAAACCAAATCATCAGCCCCGCCGGCAATACAATCACCGTCATATTCATCATCATATCCATTATACTCTTTCGGATCTACTAAAATTAAAACAATATTTTGAAGGAGGGAATCCTAACAATGCCAATCCCAACTTGTGGAACTTCTCCGACACCGAAACAAAAGACAAGACCCCAGAAAATGGACCTACGGGTGATGAAGTGATATTCGGTGAAGAGGCTTGCCCAACAGGATATTCTAGGGTTTCGAAAAAGTGTGTTCGTAATAATTAGAGGTATAAACAACTTGTACAAGAATGTTATTTTAAATTATGTTAATGAAACTGTAACCATAATAATAAATTTGAATGTGTCTTGTTTTGTTTTTCTATTTCTGCGAATAAAAATGAAAAATTAACTCTATACGGTTGTACCTAATATTTAAAATTTGAATATATTTTTTTCACCACTAACTTATGGAAACGTCTCATTGAGAAATAACTTAATAATAATCTTTTTATTTCTGGATCAATCAGTCCAGCCGCCTCTCCATTACGTGTTAGGGGACTTCATATGTCATTAAATTATTTTTGTTTCTCGAAAATGCAGGCTATCCCACAATGTTTTTATTCACCATAAATAAGTATTTTAAATTGACAATCTTATTAGTGCCAGTATAGATAATAACAATAAATATTTTACACGAGAACTGGAAATTTTAGACTGAAATAAAGTTTTGTAAAAAAGACAAACATATACATATTTGCATAGGGCAGTTTATTTCATTTGTGTTATACTCCTATGGCTTCCATTAAGTCAGGCCACGCAGAAAGTCTCCGAGAAAACCCAAAAAAAAACTTTATTCAATCAAAACATCTTTAGACTAGTGATTTGAAAATCGATGAAACGAAAAATTGACACTTAAAAGAGACAAACATATACATACATCTATAGGATAACCTGCGAGAGAATGAGATAAAATACAGTATACGGTGCTTAATATATATTTATTAATATTTTAATTATTGAATAAAACTATTATTAACGGATTTTATCGCGTTTAATTACTACTTTAATTTATTTTTATCATATAATATATTTTAATTACATAAACAGTACAATAATCCTACTCCTGATACTAGGCACTCGTCTCATTTCGAAGTTTAGTTTTCTAAAGGTTTGCACTTCTACCGCGTGTGATGTACACGAGTTTTTTTCTATGTGAGGCACTGGCCCGTTATAATTTATTTTTGAGATACGATTATTTACGGAAAAAAATACCAATGTGCGATTTGTTTTCTTTTTTATTTTCCTCCACATTTGTTTCACAATTTTAACTGAAATATCGTGTTTCTTTAAAAAATGGATTTAAAATGTCGTGTAAACTCAGTGAAATCGTTTGATAGACTTCATATTTCACGTACGGATAAGGCAACCGTGTTACGCTGTTATGACCAATTTCAGCACAACCGACTAACGATCACTAATCGACTCGGCTAGGCAGCGTTCGGGAGATTACGACGCATCTTCTTTTCAGGTGTACTTCAGAATTTGTAAACGAGATTGTACAAGTTGTTGTGTTGTTGTATTGTAGAGTTGCAAGTGGTGACTTACGGATATGGAACGAGGTCCTTTACTGCTGGCCGTGTAAAAAAGTTCAAAGTCGCTCAGCAAGATATGGAGAGGGCTATGAACTATGATACTCTAAACAATTAAAAACTGAGTTTGCTAATCGGCCTGCCAAGCGTGACAACTATGGTAAAATTCCCCTGGGAGGCATCCTATGGGAGGCCTATATTCAGCTGTGGATTTTATGGGATGTAATGGATTAATGAGTAGATGAGACCTCTAAATCTCTAAAGTAAAGTAAAGTTAACGTTATAGCCTATATACGTCTCACCGCTGAGCACAGGCCTCCTCTCGCTTCTGAGAGGGTTTTAGGGCAAGGAAGTTTTTGTCTCTTACAACATCTTCCATCCCTAATTATTTCATCCAATCAATCCATCAACTTCAATTAAATAGTTTAAAATCGAAATTAGTTATTAAGTGGGCGCTTTATTAGAATATTATCTTTTCCTTATCACTGCACTTAATTATTTCTAAGTGGCTCTGAATGGTTTCAATAAACAATTGAATTTGAAATTTAGTACTATTAATACGCCTCAAGTAATTTATTATTATAACAAGGCAAAATACGAGTAACAATGCCTTTAAATTATTACATAATTTTCCTTACAATGGCTTACGCACACGGCTTTATAATTAGAAATACGAATGCAGTCAATAAACAGCCAACTGAAGTTGATGGAGATATACCGGAAAGCACAAATAAGAAAGAACTTGATGTGACTACTGCAGATAAAATTTGTAAAGATATAAACAATAAAAAATACCCCTTTGCAGATTTAATTGGTGAGATGGATTTAGATGTTTATCAAATAATCAGAAAACTTACAAAAGAAGCATCAACGAAACTACACAATCAAAAAGAAAACTATGATGAAGCATTGACTCAACACGAGCTTCGTAAGTATCCCGTACCTTGTCTCCCTGATCGTCATCGTAACAACTTTCCTTACCATCATCTGAAGCTTAATCTGCTTCATTTTTATTTACTTTGTGAAGTGGAAATGAAAACAACGTCAAATGAATTGAAAACGTGAGTAATATTCGGTGCTGATAGATGTCCTACAGGCCAAGTCAAAGTCTCAGAAAAATGTATTGAAGAACATTAAATTAATTTTCTTAGTGTAATTAAATCAATATCAAATAAAACCATTTGTTAACTTTAATTGCTAGTAACATCAATAGTATAATAATTTTAAAAAATTTAAGAGATCATTGGTTATAGAGATTGTGATTTTTTTTTTTTTTTTTTTTTTTAGTTTTTTTTTTTTTTTTTTTTTTTTCTGGGTTTGGGGTGGTGTGTTTTTTTTTTTTTCATGCTGATACACCGTAAAGCTTACAATAAGCTATAATTAATGAAGCTTACATAGTTTAACTAATTTGCAATTTTTTATATTTTTGAAGTGAAACTTCTTTAGAATCGTTGTGATTTGAAATTCGATGAAACAAAAAAGTGACACTAAAAAGAGACAAACATATATATCTACAGTATTTCACCTGCGAAAGAATGAGATGTAATATTGCATTAAATTAGTCATGTTTAGGTTTAAGCAATCTAGCGTCTATTTTACGTACCATCTTGAGAGTCAATCAATTTGTGTTTGATAAAATTACTTAAGCTATAGGATAAAGTAGGTAGCACTTTTATAAAGCAATTTTACCGGGATGAAAAATTCATTTTATTTATTACACTAAAATTAAGGCAAAGTAAGTAAAAGAATTGTAATATTTATTTGCTGCAAAATAAAACTTTTATCTTATATTTTATTCTGATGAAACGAACTTACTATCGATTGTAAGTGGCTATTGGAGTCTAGTACACATGCAGTAACACCTGAGGTAGTAACAACAGTCATCTCTGAGGGATAAGATGTAATGCCTTACAGCCTATAATTAAACTGATTCTCTAAATCCTATAGCTCAAATGCAGTGGTGCGAGCGCTGCCGTTTGGTGGCTTGGTTCACTGTTTGGGATGGTACTCACACTGTCGGACTTCTGTGCAGAAAAGGGGTCGTACCACAAAGAAATTCATAGTTTGATTGATTGCAGTTATTAATGTTTTTATTTTTAGAATTGAATAAAACATTTACAAATCGATACTCTTCTACTCTTCTTTACACCAAGGATATGTAATTATGTGTTTAAGCGGGAATGCGAGCTCTCGTTCCACCTATATTATATGATGTTAATCCAGTAAGCCTTTTAGCTTTTATGTTTTCACCTTACTCAGAGCTGAGGTATGAAAAGAGGGTGTAAAGTCAAACTTACACGGCTTTAGAAGAGGACCGTGAAGTTAATTTACTGGTTCAAACTTTTAAAAAATAATTTTGGATTCAATAATTTTCCAAAAAAAAAAAACTCCAGGGACCAAATGCAGAGTCCAGTATCGAAGGTGTATTGGTAAAATAACTGCATTGGGTATCTTAGTGTCAATGTCTAGTATTGCCATGTGCTTTTTAGCTAGCTGTCTATACAGAAATAGAAGGCAGAGCTGTAACCTAACTGTCCTGATGTCTAAGCTTCTTAAAAAACCGTTGGTTCACCCATTTAGTCTAAAAGCTGTAAAATGATTTTACATAAATAAGTGCGCGATGTCCATTCTATGAGACCTACAGTAACAGACGGAAGGTGTATAAAAAAGGGCTATAGAGTTTGTATGTTCTGACTGCCAATCTCACAGACTCACGCGACAGTAGTTAGACTATATATATCTTAGTCACAGTGAGAGGGTGCTGGCCAGTGTGTAAAGGCGAACGACGACATCGACAAAAAAGCTGACTTCAATGTAACAGCGTCGATGTCCGAATCCAAAGAAAGTTTATTTAAAAGATACCTAACTATTTATAATTTATTTATATGTATGAAATAAATAATGTGTTATATAATATGAGTTAAATATATTATGTGGTAGAGCCATGCTGTAGTTATATTAGTAGTATAGTTGTAGCACGAATGGGTCGGCTCGACCGGGGAAGGACCACACTCTCACAGAGTACCAGCGTAAAATAGTAGCTTAATGTTAATAAATATAATAATAAATACATATAATAATAAATGTTAGTGTAGGGAACCGAAGACCCTTTTACTGATTCCATCTCAGTCCTCACGGGTGACGACGCATCTGCATTTTGATTCGTAATTGAGGATTGATATAGATATTTATGGACCACAGGAACCACTTACCATCAGGTGGACTGTGTGCTGTTTGTCACCCTATCCTATAAAAAAATTAGGACAACTTTTTTAGTATGTTTGATAAATTAGTTAGATCCTGCCACTTTACCGCTGAGTCGATTTTTTCGTGCTCGTACCATGGGAACAGAGCTAATAATGATAATTATGATGATAATTTGGTTCGTGACCAGTGTGAGCAGATATGTTATATAATATTTTTACGTATTTAATTTTTTTAATTAACTTATGTATATTCGCTATAAAACCTTTTTGACTTGTTTTATTTTGCAACTAACTCTTAGCCGTAACTTTTTCTGCGTAGAACTTAAACCATAAAACTTGTAGAAATATAACAATGGCCTTTGAGAAAGTAGTAAAATTTTAGAGGTCGTACGCGGAAGAAAACTACTATGAAACGTACAGTGGTGGACCGCCAAGCATCCAGATGGTGTGGATGGTATCGGGAGGTTTGCCGCGTAGTGCGTTCATGAAATTTGACGGCTGCGATGAATCTGAACAATTCCTCAGAGCACTCCCCGTGGTAGATGCGAAAGAAAACGCAAAGAGATTCAACAGACTTTTTACGTGGTAGAGCCACACTGCAGCTGTTATGGTTGTAGCATGAAAGGATCGGCTCGACCGAGGAAGGACCACGCTCTCACAGAATACCAGCGTAAAATAGTAGCTTAATGCTGCTGTGTTTCGTATGGTGAGTGTAGAGAACCGGAAACGAGGCATTCCACCTAAGTCCTCACTGATGACAACGCATGTAGATAGAGAGATTATATTTAAGAATGAGGAGGTGATAGCGATAGACCTGTGTTGCCTAGTTGTACCTATTTTCTTATACAGCTACACGATAGGAGCTTTCATCTATTCATTCCTGCATTACAGGCCATAGAAATCCACAGCTGAACGTAAACCTCCCTCATAAATTGCATGATCATAGGGGGATATTTGTCTAAGCTGCCACGCTTGGCAGGTAGGCAACCGCAGTATTTTATTTTTATTTATTGTTAGGATAACACTGCTTCCCATCCCTTGTATCATTTTCCATCTGCCGCCTCCTACAACTACAACACCCTCGTCGATCACCATCAATCACCATGTAGTAAATCAATTCCATATTTTAATTTATCCTCCTCTAAAATTAATTAAATAGTTTAAAATCGGAATTAGTTTTTAAGTACGCACTTTATTACAATTTTATCTTCACATTATCACTGCACATAATTATTTTTAAGTGGCTCAGAGCAACGGCTCTTATAAGCAATTGAATGTCTCAAGTAATGTATTATTAGAACAACGCAAAATATGAGTAGCAATGCCTTTTAATTATTACACAATTTTACTGATAATGGCTTCCACACACAGTTTTATACTTGGAAATACGAATGCATACACCACGCAGCCAATAGAAGTTGACGGAGATATACCGGAAAGCACATATAAGAAAGAAATATTTCTGGCTGCTGCAGATAAAATTAGTAAAGATATAATTGATTTACAAGTGTAGCAAATAATCAGAAAATTTACAACAGAAGCATCAACAAAATTATACAATCAAAACGAAAACTATGATGAACCATTGACTCAACACGAGCTTCGTAAGTATCCCATACCTTGTCTCCCTGATCGTCATCGTAACAACTTTCCTTACCATCATCTGAAGCTTAATCTGCTTCATTTTTATTTACTTTGTGAAGTGGAAATGAAAACAACGTCAAATGAATTGAAAACGTGAGTAATATTCGGTGCTGATAGATGTCCTACAGGCCAAGTCAAAGTCTCAGAAAAATGTATTGAAGAACATTAAATTAATTTTCTTAGTGTAATTAAATCAATATCAAATAAAATCATTTGTTAACTTTAATTGCTAGTAACATCAATAGTATAATAATTTTAAAAAATTTAAGAGATCATTGGTTATAGAGATTGTGATATGCTGATATACCCTAAAGCGTATAATAAGCTCAATTAATGAAGCTTACATAGTTTAATTAATTTGCAATTTTTTATATTTTTGAAGTGAAAACTTCTTTAGAATCATTGTGATTTGAAGCTCGAACAAACGAAAAAGCGACACTAAAAAGAGAAAAACATATACATCTACAGGATTTAGTTTGCGAAAGAATGAGATGTAATATTATTGTTGCGTGAATAAGTCAACTAGCGCCATCTAGTGTCAGGAACGAGAGCGAGGGAAGCTTTGCAGAAAGTGACATCACAAATCTATCAACCGACAGCGCCATCCGAAGAACTAAGTTTCTAGATAATCTACACTCGCACACTCGTCCCTTTGCGCGCATTTACTTGAATATTCCAGATGCTTCTTTGCTAGTTTAAATAAATAGGCGCTGCAAGATGCGATCGAGGCAGTATTGAAGTGGCGAAACAAGCGAAGCTTCGGAGCGGAATAAAGTGAATTAGTGTGTTTAATTATTAGTGATTTAAGTTTTAATTAGTGTAAAGTAAATTAAAGTGTTAATTTAGGTAATTTTATCGGCAATTTTTATTGTCACGAACCTCAAGCTCGTAACAATTGGTGTCAGAAGTGGGATAAAATCATGCCGATTTTACCTAAGGAGGAAACGGAGGGTGTCCGTACCTGAAGTCAACGCCAGCAGGAGACCGACCAGAGGAGATTTGGTGGTGCAACTCCGCAGATGTCTGAGGGGCCAGCCGCCGGCCACGGAAGCCGGCCCGTCAGCAGCTTCTACGCCTGTGGCACCTGACTTAGGTGCTCTGATGGTGATGCTGTAGCAGCTGCAGCGCGGACACGAGGAACAGGCCCGCCGATTGGAAGAGCAGATGCGGGGCGGACAAGAGGAACAGGAAGAGCAGATGCTCCTCATGAAGGACCTTCACGCTACCTTCGGGAAGGAGATAAAGGAGGTGAAGGATAGGGTACTCAGCATGACAACCGCCTGTCGGAAGCTAAAACCCAAATCGCGAAAGCTGAAAACCGAATCGAGAAAGCTAAAACCCGAATCGACCAAGTAAACAATCGAGTTGACAACGTAATGGCTGACATGAAGAAATCACTAGACGAACTCAAACTTGGGGATGGAACTACAGCTCCCGTAGTAGCTACAGCACCTTCGCTACGTGACGCCGTTCGACGGGACCTCTTCCTGGTCGGCCTACAAAATCCAGTTCGAGGCCGTCATGGAAGCAAACGGCTGGAATAAAAGCCAGGCCATGACTGCACTCACCTTAAGCCTGCGCGACCAAGCCTTAACCGTGTTGGAAGCTCTCGGTAAGAAAGTGACCTACGAGCAGCTCCTTGAGGCATTGGAGGCGAGATATGGTGACGCTCACCTGGAACACGTCTTTCGCGCGCAGCTTAAAGATCGCGTGCAACGCAGCAACGAAAACCTGCAGCAGTGGGCCCTTGAGTTGGAGAAGATGGTTCGAAAAGCATACCAGTCTGTACTTGCGCTCATTGAAGGGAACCTGGTGCAGACATTCATCGACGGCATCCGTGACCTGGAAGTCAGAGCTGCTGTGAGGCTCGGGCACCACGAAACGCTTAAGGACGCCTTGGCCCACGCACTGGAGGTAGAAGCCGTGCGGCAGGATCATCGTTCCCATCGCGTCAGGGAGGTTGCAGCAGCTACAGTTCGTGACCGCAACAAAGGATACAGCCCTAGGTGCTATGGCTGTGGGGAAAAGGGCCATCTCCGATCCAGCTGCCCTAAGCGAACCCTAGAAAGGGAAGGTGAACGATCTCAGGAGGGTAGTGCGGCCAACAGCACCGCCCAGCAGCAGCAGGGAAACGAGTAAAAGCCAGAACTGCGG